GCTAGAACTCCATTTTTTCTATCAATTGAGTACAAGAAACCACCCATTTACCGATTTCAAGTATCCAATAAAGTGGTCAGAAATTGGCAATTTTGCCATTTTCACACAAATTTCAGAAGATGCCAGTTTCCAAATAGGGCCCAGAATAAGCAAGACAGACATTCCTGGCACTAAAATAACAAGTTCTCTGCTCATTAGTCATGTCCCCAGGCCCCTCTTACATTTCTTTTGCTTTCCACTTTGAATTTTTATTCTCAAAAAATAGATGATTTACTGTTATGCAGACTACTGCATTAGTGTAGAAATGTGTATAAATAATGTCAGTGCACTTGTGAAAGAATATTAGACTCGCCAGTCAAAGTGTATTGGACGCTTGGCATGATTTGTTTACTTTTGAAATTTGGTAAAAATCGAACATTTCTGCTACTTTGAGCTCAATTTCAAGGTACTTTTCATTATGAAACCAGTCAAAATCATCTTAATTTCTGTAATATGTCTTCCATTCTATAAAATGAGACCATGAAAACTAGAATACAACCATAAATACCATACGAAAATACACTGCAAAGTTGCTGTTTTAATCCAAAAACATGGTTGGAGTTTTCTTTTCTCATGCACTGTGTGCTGCAGGATATTTTTATATTGTGCACACTGACCACATAGACCCACTCTTTCATATGTAGGCCTACCAGCTTTCTCTCACTAGATTTGAAGGCGCTAGAATTTAGGTGTTCTAGTACGTCAATAACCCTGGTGCGTAAGCCGTACTAGTATGTTGGAAACCCTGGAATTGTTAATGAGATCGTATTAAGTTCAAATAATATTGTAAAACAGCTAACCACTATTCCTTGTTAAGTTTTAAGTATAATTACTATGTACTATTATCTTATCTAGTTTTAATTAGTTACTATGTACAGTGGACCCCCGGTTCGCGATGCTATCGGTATCCGATAAATCCGGTAACCGATGCATTATATCGCCAAAAATTTGCCTCGGTTCCCGTTACAAAACCCGGTATGCGATGCAATTCGTACGAGACGTGTCCACGTGTGGCATGAACTGCCCCGTGTGCACCAGTGTTTACAAGCCAGCCAGTGTGCGCGCATCTAAGGATACATTCGGTACATTCCATATTATTCATATTATCACTGTTTTTGGTGCTTGTTTCTGCAAAATAAGTCACCATAGGCCCCAAGAAAGCTTCTAGTGCCAACCATTCGAGACCAAGGGTGCTAATGACTATTGAAATGAAGAAAGAGATAATTGCAAAGTACGAAAGTGGAATGCGTGTGTCAGAGCTGGTCAGGTTGTATAGTAAATCCCAATCAACCATCTCTACTATAGTGAGTAGGAAAATGGCAATCAAGGAAGCTGTTCTTGCAAAAGGTGCAACTGTGATTACGAAACAGCGACCGCAAGTGTTAGAAAATGTTGAGAGACTATTATTGGTGTGGATAAATGAAAAACAGATAGCAGGAGATAGCATCTCTCAAGTGATCATTTGTGAAAAGGCTAGGCAGTTGCATGACGATTTGGTAAAGAAATTGCCTGCAACTAGTGGTGATGTGAGTGAATTTAAGGCCAGCAAAGGTTGGTTTGAAAGATTTAAGAATCATATTGGAATACATAGTGTGATTAGGCATGGTGAGGTGCCAGGTCAGACCACAAAGCGGCTGAAGGATTGAAACCTGAACAAGTGTTTAATTGTGACGAAACAGGCCTGTTTTGGAAGAAATTGCCAAGCAGGACCTACATTACTCAGGAGGATAAAGCTACCTCAAGTCCTAATGGAGGGGGATTCCCATTCTAAACAATAGGTTCAACACACTCCCTCCTCCCATCCCATCAATCATCACCAGATCTTCATTAAAGGTAAGTGTCAATTATTCTATTGTTATTATTCTATTGTTATTGTTGTTATTGTAATTATTCTATTGCATTAAACTTAATATTCAGTGGTAAAAGTTTTTTTTTTCATACTTTTGGGTGTCTTGCATGGATTAATTTGATTTTCATTATTTCTCATGGGGAAAATTGATTCGCTTTCTGATAATTTTGGTTTAAGATGAGCTCTCAGGAACGGATTAATATCGCGAACCGGGGGTCCACTGTATTAGGATTAGTTTGCCTGAAATGCCTCGGCATGATAGTGGCTATCTTTGTACTTAGCAAATCAAAATTGTAATTACACATTGTAACCTTTACAAAGAAATAAACTTTATTTATTTAATTTATATTTATTACCCTGATCACACTCCAACAGCTCATCAAGTCCCAAATACCATTCGTCTCCCTTCACTCCTGTCTAACACACGCATGCTTGCTGGAAGTCCAAGCCCATCACCCACAAGACCTCCTTTACCCCTTCCCTCCAACCTTTTTGAGGACGACCCCTACCCCGCCTTCCTTACCCTACACATTTATATGCTCTCCATGTCATTCTACTTTGATCCATTCTCTCTAAATGACCAAACCACCTCAACAACCCCTCTTCAGCCCTCTGACTAATACCTTTATAAACTCCATACCTTCTCCTAATTTCCACACTCCGAATTTTCTGCATAATATTTACACCACACATTACCCTTAGACAGGACATGTCCACTGCCTCCAACTGTCTCCTCACTGCAGCATTTACAACCCAAGCTTCACACCCATGTAAGAGTGTTGGTACCACTATACTTTCATACATTCCCTTCTTTGCCTCCATAGATAACATTTTTGTCTCCACACATAAATGCAATGAAAACTTCCCTACCTTTATTTAAATACTGTTCACATATATGCTTCAGTGTAAACACTTGATCTACACATCCCCTACCCACTCTAAAACCTCCTTGCTCATCCGCAATCCTACATTCTGTCTTGCCTCTAATTCTTTCAATAATAACCCTGATAAATTAGACACATGTGCAACTCTTGGGTATCTTTATTGAGGAAACGTTTTGCCACACAGTGGCTTCATCAGTCCATACAAAGGAGAATCTTGAAGAACAGGAGGAGAATGAGGTAATCAGTCCCTCAACCTTGAGTCGATGTGGTCAGTCCATCAATCTTGAATAGAATACGGCATACGTGCTGAGAAGAAGCTTATAAACCATTGGCAGGAGAGGTGCAGCAGTCATAGGTGGTGTCACATTTGTTCAATGTGGAAGTAGGTCGTGCCAAAGAATTAGGCAAGTGAAGAATTCCCAAGTATTAAGATCCCAAGAAGTTGCAGTGTCTGACAGGTTTGTAGATGAATGGTTCAGAGAACCGACATGTTGATAAATTAGACACATGTGCAACTCTTTTATCACACCCTTTACTTCATCATTCCACCAATCACTCCTCTTTCCTCCTGCACCCACCCTCCTATACCCACCCTCCTATAGCCACAAACTTCTGCCCCACATTCTAATACTGCATTTTCAAAACTACTCCAATCCTCTTCAACCCCCCCCCCCCCCCCCACTACTCATACATGCACTAGCCCACCTTTCTGCCAATAGTTGCTTATATCTCACCCGAACTTCTTCCTCCTTTAGTTTATACACACTCCCTCTCTTACTTGTTGTTGCCATTTTCCTTTTGTCCTCATCTAACTCTTACTCTAACTGTAGCTACAACTAAATAATGATCCGATATATTAGTTGCCCCTCTATAAACGTGTACATCTTGAAGCCTACCCATTAAACTTTTATCCACCAATACTATATAATCAAATAAACTACTTTCATTACATGCTGTATCATACCTTGTATATTTATTTATCCTCTTTTTCATAAAATATGTATTACTTATTACCAAACCTCTTTCTACACATAGCTCAATTAAAAGCTCCCCATTCTCATTTACCCCTGGCACCTCAAATTTACCTACTACCTCCACAACATTTTTACCCACTTTAGCATTGAAATCTTCAACCACAAGTACTCTCACACTTGGTTCAAAACTTCCCACACACTCACTCAACATTTCTCAAAACCTCTCTCTCTCCTCTACACTTCTCTCTTCTCCAGGCGCATATACGCTTACTATAACCCACTTTTCACATACAACCTTTATTTTACTCCACATAATTCTTGAATTAATACATTTATACTCCCTCTTTTCCTGCCATAGCTTCTCCTTCAACATTATTGTTACTCCTTCTTTAGCTCTAACTCTATTTGAAACCCCTGACCTAATCCCATTTTTGTCTCTCCACTGAAACTCTCCCACCCCCTTCAGCTTTGTTTCACTTAAAACCAGGACATCCAGCTCCTTCTCATTCATAGCATCCACAATCATCTCTTTTTCTTCTTTTTTTATTAATATTGTTATTTATTATTATTATTATTTTTATTATTATTATTATTATTATAGTCAGCCAGACAAGCTGAACTGCTTTATAAATATATATTAGTTTAATGAAATTTCTCTTGTACATATTATAGATAATTTTTTGTAAATTTACATGGTATATTAATGTTTAATTTTCCACCACTAACTTAGCAACTTCATCAAACCTTGCTAACATTAGCATAAAATGTTTTTAATTCTGTCAAAATTTAGTTACTGTAGTGTTATATAACATTAATGAAAAACTGTGCATTGTTTTTGTGATGAGACTGATTTTCACCTACATTACATGCTCGGCTTAAAATCACAACATAGGTACACATTGTTTACTTGGAATTTCTAACAGACTGTGTGTAAAGCTTTCAGTGTATTTAATTTAAAAATTTCAAAATTAAAGTAATTGTTCACCAGTGATCAAGGGTATGATATATAAGATAATTACTTAAATGGTACTCATATTTATAAATGTAAAAATGTTCTTTAGCCTACATTACAGTAAAATGTATCCAAAATGATTTACAAAATTAAATGAATAGTTTTTCATTCTGGTTGATTTTTTTACTGACTCTATTTTGCTTTGTTATACGTACCTTGTTGTAATTTATTGTTACATTCTTAACATTTCAAAACAAATTTTGAACAACAGCTTGTGATTAAAATGCAATTCTCCTTTGCAGGTGAAATGAATGGAACAATAGCAAGCTCAGTAATAGATGAGTATGGACCTTCACTGCAGCCTGGATCTGTGCTGCTCCTTCGAGGTGTGACAGTGCTGTCACCAGTAGGTTTGAGAACAGCTGCCGGATTGAGAGAACATACTAGACGTCACTACCTTAACATAACTCTCAATACTGTGCTCAGTATTTACACTGCAGATGAGTCTGGTCATGTGATAACAACATCTGTTGGAAACTTTGATAAAAGGGAACTGTGTAAACAAGCAGCTGCCCCAGAGACTGCTGGTGGTCCTCGAGCTATTATTGAGGAAGAGGAGGAGGAAGAACATGGAGATTTTTCTGCACAAAACCATTCTCTCTTCTCTAAAATTACTGACTCTCATAGCCAGTTCGGTCAGTCAACTAACTTACCAAGAATTCCTAATTACAGATCCCCAAGAGCTGCATCAAATAACATCTTACATTGCAATCCTGGCCAGCCTCAGAAGTGTCCACAAGTCAATAACAAGCAGCTCACAAGCCCTTTGATTAGTAACAAACCTACTATAGATGCTACAAGATTTAATGGAACCATTATGGGTCCAGGGACACCAACTGCAGTACAACATTTACAGCCTCAATTTCATCAATCCCTCATAAAATCAGTGGTATCACTTACTTCTAAGAGTTCGTCAGGCTTCAGTAGTAGTATGTTGCAAAACAAAAATATAAAAAAAATTCCAAATTTTAAAAAACTTGCCGATCATGCTGAAGAGAAAGAAATCAAGGATTTGTTAGATGGAGTTGATGCAGACTCATTATTTGGAGATTTCTAACTTGTTTTTTTCTGATGCTTAAGTTGATATCATAGAAATTAGTATAGCCCTTTGTAAATATTTAAAGTATTAAATCTTTATTATTTTTTCAATAAATTTTCCCATAAATGCTGTATCTGAAATAGTAGCCCAAATTACTATATTACTAGAAAGTTACGTGATAAATAAATATCTTCATTGACATTTATCATTTTCATTCGTCTTGATAATACTGTACAGTAATTTAAAGTTATACTGATTATGCTAAAGGTAAATAATCTCAGAATTATGCAGACCATTATTTAAACATACCATGATATTACAGTTTCATTTGAGACGTGTGGGAGACAGCTGACATAAAGAGATCTACCCCATACTGCACTAGGTTAACAGGTATAGCATTACAACCCATAAGATATTCACATCACTTCCAAATCTTTATACTAATTTGACAACTGGTCTTGAACTGCTGGAGATATAATAATGAAAGGGTTTGGAAATTCTTAATAGTTGAGGTGAATAGAGCACTGTACTGTTGTATGTCACCCCTTCAGTGGGGCGCATTTTTGGTGAAGTACTCAATAGCTAAGGAATTAGAACTACCCTCGGCTTTTTTTTTTAAACATGTCGGCCATTTCCCACTGAAGCAGGGTGACCCAAAAAGAAAGGAAAACCCCAAAAGAAAAAAACTTGCATCATTCAACACTTTCACTATCATTCATACATAATCACCGTCTTTGCAGAGGTGCTCGGATATGACATTTTAGATGTCACTTGAAACAGCCAACATCCCAAACCCCTCCTTTAAAGTGCAGGCATTGTACTTTCCACCTCCAGGACTCGAATCTGGCTAACCAGTTTCCCTGAATCCTTTCGTAAAAATGTTACCCTGCTCACACTCCAACACCTCATCAGGTCCCAAAAACCATGTCTCCATTCATCCCTAACACACTCATGCACACTTGATGGAAGTCCAAGCCCCTCACCCACAAAACCACCTCCGCCCCCTCCCTCCAACCTTTCCTAGGATGACCCCTACCCCGCCTTCCTTCCACTACAGATTTATGCGCTCTCCAAGTCAATTACCTCATAATTATTTGCATCAAAAGGGGCATTCTCATATTGCATGAGAAGCAGTATCCCAGTCTTGCCAGTAAAACTGGCAAACTGGTTTCTTACATGGCAAAACCAATCCCAATCTTCCTCTAAGTAAGATACACCATTAAGGCAATCAAGAGAGGCACTTGTCACTTAAGGCATGGAAAACAAAAACCCAATTTAATAAAATTGGAAAATAGATTCACACAGCCCAATAAGAATACAAACCTTTCAGCAAAATACTGCCATCCCTACAAATGTGTGGGAGTTTGTTTCCTAGACATTCCTTGAAGTTAAAAATTGCAAATACAGCCTCTCCTCACTTAATGGAGTTCCATTCCTAAGACCACATCGTTAAACGAATTCTTTGCTAAGTGAGGAGCATACTGTAATGGTAGTGAGTTTGTGTCAACCATCTCTGATATTGTTTTAATGTCACTCTTGCACCATTTATAACATTTCTGGTATATTTTTTAATGTTTATACAGTAGTGTACTGTATATTGAAATAAACAGAATAGAGGAAATCAGCTCTAATATACATTATTTAGGTATGAATACTGGTCAGAGAGCCTATTGTAAGTCTGAGGCATCAGTAACTGAGTATGCCGCTAAGTGAGGAGAGGCTGTAATACAAAATTATGTTTTTATAAATTGCATTTCAGACTTGAGTTCATTTACTGGTTTAAAATATTTGTAATAAGACTATTGAGCCATTGAGCACAATTTGATTAAAATTTGTTTTCAATTTAATGCTCATGTGCCAAGCCCACAAAAAAATGGTTCAAGTTAAACAACGACAGATTTCTATCAGGCCATGTTTAGGATTCAGTCCATCTTCCCACCACTGTCAGGTATAGGAAACTGCACTCTAGTGTTTACTTATTGGACATCGTGACAGAATCACAGATAACATAAGGATAAACAACTGGCACCAGTCTGTGAGGACTTCAGTCACACTTATCAGTTCATCATATTTAACAAAATTGCCCTATCTGTCAATTGGTACAGGATTCATTTCTGTGTGTATACCTCTCCAACACACTTGCTCTGACTGACCTGGCTGAAAGTCCTGACACCTTTGATGCAGACTCACTCTAACTTTTTAACAGAAACTAATGTATTGCACCAACTTGAACTTTTATTTTCCTCTTGCACTAACCTCTATGAAAGATAAGTTTATTTTGCTGTTGGGTGCCAGTGCCTTGGGAGGTTTAAAGTTGAAGCCTATGCTTGTTGACCACTCAGAAAACCCCAGTGTTTAAACAACAAAAAGTATCCAAGGGCAGGTTGGGTGTGTTCTAGTGTCTGGGAACGAGTTACCATAAAACCATGTGTATTTTGAAGTTTGAGTTATGATAGTTTTGAGGAACGATACATCTGAAATGAATAAATATCATAACTTGAGGAACCACTGTATCATAAATTTGAACGTTGTATCACAAGGCCACACTGCAAAACATCACAAGCATGGACACCACAACAGCATCACAAGTCCAGCAATACACTATGTTCATTCAAGACTCGATATAAAAACTCCATTTAAAATTAGGCAGGGAAAATATCTTCCTCAAGGTTAGTTGCTTGATTCCAGGGAAGGACTTTTGATCTGTGGAATTGAATCTGACATCCCCTCCTAAGATTTAGCCTGATTGTCTCACTTTCCCTAATGGGTTTAGCACTCCCACCACCTTATGAATATAAAAATAAAGTGCAGAATATCAAAGCATTCATACATAGGATTGAGACAGATGGTTCACAATTGTGCAACTATGTTTCATATAGCAGAAAGTAATGCTAGATTAAATGGGAAAATATACATACCTGCAAAAAAGGTAATAGGACAAATGCTCATATTTATGGCACATATGTTTTAAATATTTAAATGGATCACAGAAAACAATATGAAGTTCAGTGAAGAGAAATTTCCTTTACTTCGATATGGGAAACTTGAAGAAATTAAAACTACTGGAGTATAAAACAAATTTCAACTACACAATTGAGCAAAAAACTAATGTGAAGAACCTGGGAGTGATAATGTCAGAGGATCTCACTTTCAAAGATCACAACAGTGTATCTACCACATCTACTAGAAAAACGATAGGATGGATTATGAGAACCTTCAAAACTAAGGATGCCAAGCCCATGATGATTCTCTTCAAATCACTCTCTCTAGGCTGGAATACTTTTGTACACTAATGTTGCCTTTAAAACAGGTGAAATTGCTGATCTGGAAAATGTAGAGAGAACCTTCATGGCACACACAAGTATGCTAAAACACCTAAATTACTGGGAATGGTTGAAGTTTCTTGACTTGTATTCCCTGGAATGCAGGTGAGAAAGATACATGATAATATACATGGGGAAAATCCTAGAGGGATTAGTACCAAATTTGCACACGAAATCACTGCTTACGAAAGTAAAAGGCTTGATGAGCGGTGGAACCTCCCCCCGTGAAAAGCAGGGATGTCTTGAATGTGCTAAGAGAGAGAACAGTAAGTGTCAAGGGTCCAAGACTGTTCAACTGCCTCCCAGCATACATAAGGGAGATTACCAATAGACTGTTGGCTGTCAAGAAGGCATTGGACAGGCACCTAAAGTCAGTACCCGACCAGCTGGGCTGTGGTTTGTACGTTGGGTTGTGTGCGGCCAACAGTAACAGACTGGTTGATCAGGTCCTGATCCACCTCAAGGCCTGGTCACGGACTGGACCGTGGAGGGCAATGACCCCCGAAATCCTCTCCAGGTATACTCCAGGTATTCAATTTTAATAAGATAACAGAGAGGGGCATTAACATTTTAAACTGTGATGATGAGGCAGCAGCATCTTCAAGCAACAGCAGTAGTAACAAGCTGCAGCACCACAAAGCAACAGTGGCAACAAGCAGCAGCAGCCCTAATCAAAAGCAGTACAATAGTAGCAAGCTGCAGCACTACCAAGCAACAGCAACAGTTACAGCAAGCATCAGCACCACCAAGCAACAGTAGTAGTAGCAGCAGCAGCAAGCTGCAGCACCACGAAGTAACAGCAACAGTGGCAGAAAGCAGGAGCAGTAGTAGCAAGCAGCAGCACCAAGCAACAGCAGCAGCAACAAGCAGCAGGAGCAAACCGTAGTAAGAAGCAGCATGCAGAGGTAAGCGGCAATTGTAGAAGCAGCAAGTAGCAGCAGCACCAAACAACAGCAGCAGTAACAAGCAGCAGCAAGAAACAGCAACAAACAATGCCAGCAACAGTGGCAGAAGGCAACAGCAGTAAACCATAGTAAGAAGAAGCAAGTAGAAGTAAGAAGCAGCAACTACAGAAGCAGTAATTAGCAGCAGCAGTAGGAACGGCAGCAAAAGAAATAATAATGGTGATTGACGAGAAGGACGATGATTTAGGATGATGACTGACGAGGATAATGATTGAGGATGATGGTGTTGATGTCATCGTACGCACTTGAAATTTTTATAAAAAAAAAATACTTATATTTATTTTTGGTTGGTAATTAATTGACTGTCACATGACAGGTTTTGAAGTGTGGTAAAAGCCAGATTTTTTCCCACATAAAGCTATATAAAACCACAATTAATAACACTAAAAAAAAAAATTGTAGCGATGTTTTATACTCCGTTTCTCAGTGTATATACAGGTGGTGTATGTGTAACATACAGCCTTAGTGATTCGTGTAGTCGTTAGGCTTTAAACCTAATAGATCGGCCATAAAAGATACAGCGGTGTAAAGAAGTGAAATAAAATATAAAGTAAATATAACGCTTGTCCAATACGTACTAGAACATATAGTGGGAAAACTTCGTTCCTGGGAATAAACAAGGCTCTCAGGATTTTGATCTTTTTGATTATAATAATAATAATAATGAGGATTTTGATATCTCTTAAAACTTGTGCCCATTTTGTGGGTAAGTCACCCAATACCCATTCTGAGGGCAGTAGTCACCCCCATACCCGTCTTGTGAGTGGTAGGCCCCCTTACCCATTTTGTGGATGGTGTGGTAAGCCACCCCACACCCCTCTTGTGGTAGAGTCAACCCATACCTATCCTGTAGGCTAATGTCACCCCATACCTATCCTGTGGGCTAGTGCCACCCCATACCCATCCTGTGGGC